AAGCAGTGGTATCAACGCAGAGTACTTGTTGGAAAGCCGAGCTTATCTTATCTAAGACATAGGGGAGGCAGAGCGGGAGTTTGTTATTGCTCTGAACGCGGGAATTGTGTATACGGCGTTGTGTACGTAGAGGTAAGGAATAACCATTACTGCGTGCAATTTCTAAGGCTAGAATTCGTGCTTCGCGGCGCTCATCCTCACCCGAACACACCATTGTTGCGGTTTCAAAAATAAATCCAATCACAGCACGTTTTACACTTCGTTTTACACCACGAAGTGTAAAACGTGCTGTGATTGGAAATATGTTCAAAACCGCAACAATGGTGTGTTCGGGTGAGGATGAGCGCCGCGAAGCACGAATTCTAGCCTCAGAAATTGCACGCAGTAATGGTTATTCCTTACCTCTACGTACACAACGCCGTATACACAATTCCCGCGTTCAGAGCAATAACAAACTCCCGCTCTGCCTCCCCTATATCTCAGATAAGATAAGCTCGGCTTTCCAACAATGCATTACCCGCGCACATCTGCTGAACGACGTTGTTCTTGTCAATATACCAAACAGCAACATTAAAAAGCAGCTTGTACGAAATCGACTTTACGATCGAAAATGCACAACCGAACAATGCATAGTCTGTCCGTATGGGAAAGAAGGGGCAGGCGCAAAAGTAGGGGTTGTATATGAGCTTGAGTGCCTCGATTGCGGCGCGCTGTACATTGGTGAGACGGGGAGAGTGCTAAGCGTGCGCTTAAAAGAACATCTAGCAAGTATGAGACGCAAGAGCTTAGTAACACCACTAGGAAGACATAAAAACGACGCGCACGATGGAAGTGATTTTAAAGTCAAATGTAAGATTTTGACTTGCGAGAAAGAGATCTCGGCTAGGAAGGCACTAGAAGCTTTCTGGATTTCCGCCAGAAATCCAGAGATGAATAACAAAAACGAGTGTTTGTCTATTACCACCGACTTCCTGCCGTTTGTCGCATTATGTGAGCTGTAGATAGTAGATAGACCCCCTCTATCTGCCTTCCAAAGTATGCTCACTCGTCCGCTTCTGTCATTCATTTCCGGTCGTATCTGTCATCTCCTTCCGGGTGCGGACTCATTCTATAGCGGTGGCATAACGGTGGGTTCATTTCTGTCTGGAGCATTTTTGCGGAGCTAGTTTGGAACAAAGTCGAAACTGGCTGAGCAAGAAGAGGCATTTGGTGGTGTGATGTTGTGGATGATGCTTTGGGTCGTTTTTAGGCCTCTGAGGACGACGAAAGCGTCGAAACGTTAGGCCAATACGAATAAAGTTGCCACCATAACAAACCTGTTTGGCACAGCAAAATTGAGGAAGATTATCAACTTTCCCACAGTTCTTCACATTTTCAAAGTCGCAAAATGTGCAAACGCCCCAAACACTATGAACTCTTCGTGAAATGGAACTTCTAAAAATCGAGTATGACTAATCATCAATTTTAACAAACAAATGAGTTTCTGCCGCCTCGAAATATTGATTTTTGGAATTTTCGGGTGCAGCATGAGACGCATTAAACCCTAGAATTATGGCGATTTTTCCCTCGAGGTGTTTACGAATCAGAAAGAGAATATATCTTTCAAAAACAGGAGGATAAACTGCAGAATGACACCCAGCTGTTTGCCGTCTGATGTTCTACGGGGTTTGGGATAAACAAATATCAAATTTGGTAGCATTGCAATGATTATTTCGAAAGTTTAAAAAGCCAGGTATCAATGAAAAGGTGTTATTGCATTTTGTTTACTCTATATAACTGTAATTTAAGCATTTCCAAAACTCTAGAACGAAAATATAAAGAATTGCAAAGTTGAACTTTCAATTGAATCAGAACAAACATTACTGCTGGAACGAGGAAGAAGTTCTGCATAGAACACTTCTTACAAGGGAAGACCCTCCGCAGAAGTGGCGTGTCCATAAGTGATGCATATCGTTCTGTTGGTTGTGGGGCACCAAATGTGTGTCTATTAAATGCTCAATGGTTTTCTCTGAAAAGTTACGAACAATGGTTCCTCCAGGATGGCCACATCCCACCATAAGTTTGCAGCGCCAAGCAATGCACAGGTGTGGATGGACGGCAGAGTGATAGCAGCAGTGAGCACGTAGTCAGGAATTTAGACTCCGTGTTGAATCACCATTTTTACATTTGCAGCTCGTTTGGCTTGAACTCGTAGACGGTTCTTAGGCAAGAAGACCCCCTCACGTTGAGAAGAAAGTTGGAGCTATGTCACTGTCCGGGACAATCTCAAAGTCGTGGATTTCACTCAAATTCGGTTCATGTGGATGAGAGGCAGAGCACGAATATCATACTTTTTCCGCTCGCAAAAATCATACGAGATGGTTACAGGCGCCGCAAACATATCGTGTGCCGTGGTCAACCTGAGAGTTCTCCCAAACCATCAACGAGCAGCTAGAGAACTGAATTTGGTGTTAGTGCCTCACGATTAGAAAATGATATGCACCAGGTATTGTTAGAGTGTTTGTCTATCTTTGCTTTGAATGATCCAAGGATAGGTCCAAAAAACGACACGAACTTTCGAGCCCACTTAATTTGTTAAGATCTACGATGAGTTATCCTGAAAACTAATCGGGAAGTAAAAAAGTTTTAAAAAGAGGGAAAAGCGGCATCGAATGATACCCGGATCGCTTGACGGTGAATGTTCCATGATGACTCGCTCAGTCAAATTTGGAGTACGATATCAAAATATATTTTTAGAAATTTCTAAAAGTCACCTTGAGATGCCAAATGTATGGAATTGCAGTTTGAGTGTCTCAATTTTATTAGATGAATGCAGAGAAAACGAATCGAAAATCATCAAAGACTGTCTTGTCGCTCCTGTGTTTGTGTGTTCCGCTGACTATACGCCGTTATGAACAGATAGCTTAGCGAAAATCGATCATATTATCCTCTTTGAAAAAGTAAAGAAAATTTAGAAATCATGAGCGACAATGGTATGAATGTCACGAGCGCAGTAAACTAGCACAATTTATTTCCCACATACTCAACACCTCAACTTGTGGTAAGTTTCGTACCTAGACTGAAGCTGAGCACTTCTTATATACAATTTAATTCATGGAAATGGCGACTGGGAGGTGTAGTTTCAAGGCCTAATCAAGACCAAAAAATGGTCAGAGACCACGCTTGCGAGAGAGACGCAATCTAAGGGTGTAAGCGGTCGCCTTCCAGCGCCAATCCCATTCAATCGAAGGATAGTCACCATTTCTCTGCAGAATGCTCCAGCAGCAAAAAAAAGGCATGCTTCCAGACCGTTTCCTAGAGCAATGTCTACCTCATCTCGATGAATAGCTGCAGCAGTCAATGTATCAACAACCGCTTTGCTTCCGTTGTTCCCTCTGTTACTAGATGCCGCATAAGACAAGGAGCACCTTTGCATTCTCCATTTTTCGATCGAGCGATTTCGCCAAATTAGCGAATATTCCTTCTGAAATGTGGCTACTACCAAGCAGGAGCTTTTAGAAAGGTGAGATTGCAAGAATGCCATTTTGTCATTCAGTAGCAATGAGAGTAACGATGGTAGCAAAGGTAACGACCGTAGAGGGCCAACGGTGACGCTGATATGATTATATTGACTGCACTTCATTGTAAGGTGGATGCGACAGTTATGGGTGATTTTGTGAACTTGGAGCAAAAAACAGAATTTCCATCTTTTTTTTCTTTTCTTTTTTCTTCAGCAATAGCGTATAGATCCACCAAGCGAATAAAACATTTCCAAAGCAGATACTTACGTTTGAAAGATTCCTGCTTTGTCTTTTACTGCATTGGCAAAATCTGCGACATCATCACCTTTCGGGCACTGATCATTCAAAGCAATTCTAGCTTGCTTTTCCAGTTCGCAACTCCAATTCTGAATTTCTTTTGTTTCAGTGAATGTTCATAGTATGTCGTCAACAAAAAGGCGACAATCACTTTGTATCTGACATGAGCGACTGCTCAAGACGATCGAAAGAACCATACAAACCTGTTTTGTGCCGCAACGTCATAAATGAAACTCAAAAAAGTGTTGCGTTGGACCCACCAGGGTTTGCATTCCTAAAGCAGCTGGTAATGTGTCCCCATTGGGGCCGTTTTGTTGCGTTCCATTTTCTAGCTTTCCTCTATAACGTTCTATCGTCGAAAGAATATCTGCTTTATCCTTTGCGGGTAGAATACATGCTAAATAGAACTTTTGTAAAATGTATATTGATAATTTTCTAAAATTTTAATTTTGTAACAAATGGACGGGTTCTATATATAGTCAGTACTATAACCGTCGAATACCACTAGACAAAGACACCAAAATATCAACTGCCACGCGGGTCTTTAGAGTGACGGAGTTGTGCTCGAGGAGATACCTCAAACTTGGGTAATTAAACCTTTATTAACAACTATAAAATTCAAATAAACGATAATGCACACAAAATAAAATACCAGCTTAACATGAGATTCTGATTATGGCAAACGTTAGGGATAAAATACTTGATATGTTTTTGTCTACCTGAACCATAAGCAAGTAAAGGCACTAAGAATGTAAGTAAATATAAGACAACCAAATAAGATGAAGCAATGACAATCAAATGACGCTTGAGTCAAGAACGAAAGGAGGAGGTCGCCAGCTGCGGCCCCCCTTACTTTTTACTTGATTATCGGCGCAGCTGCAGCGTACAAAGAAAGAGCTTGCCGCGCACTCAGCTTTCAAAGGCAATCAAAAATGAATCATCAAACAGAAAATACAGAGAAAATATAGAAATTATCGGTCGAGTTTCTCGACACTCCGGGCCTGCTTGATGATCGTTATTCTCCATCAATCGTCTCCTTCGCCTCCGTCCTCATATTCTGCTTCTGGCGTCCTCTTTTCGGCTAGGTTAAGAGCAGCAATTTCGGCCGAGCAGCTGCCCAATGAATGCTCATAGACGTCGTTGTAATTTGAGCATTGCTTTGGCATCATCATAATGGGTACCGGTGGCTGATGAGCCAACGACATAAGATCGTCTTGAAGCCATCTCCTTGAGAAATCCAGTTTGTCAGAACTCTTCGGTAGAACGATGGTTTCGGTGACGTTAAAATCGACTGACTCAGTTTCAGCTGGCGGTGGTGGAGGCGGTAGAACGATATCAACGGGTGAAGGATGATGATAAGTTGCCTTTTTCAGAGAATAATATCGCAAAATCTTAAAGGAGTTTCTCATGAAGCTTTTCTTTGATTTCTGACTGCAATAGGCAGAAAGGTCGGCATAGGAGACGAAAAAACAGTAGTACGAGCAGCATAATTCCTTTGAGAAAGCGGAATCCACAACACACTCCTTGCAGTGAAAAACAAGCGTAGGTGATTCCCAAAACGATTAGTAGCGCGATTACTGCTACTATCAGCGTTTTGTACCACTGCAGGAAGACTTCCGCGATGTGCCAAAAATCTGGCCACTGAGTTTCTGCTGCTTGGTCTCCGTTTCCAGACAGCCATTGTGTCATCATTCCATGAGCTGTTTGTGTGAATCTGAGAATGCCTCCTACTTCAAAAGTTGTTACAATTGTTCCACAAGACACTGAGCATGTCATTTGCACTCTCGCTCGATCTAGGCTGAACTGAAGCTCCGAAAGCGCTCCTTGTTGGTCGCAGTCCACAGTAAAACTGGCAGACTCGCAGATGATTTCGGCTTGAGTTTGCTTTGGTGCCGTACACTTAATTGTAGCTTTTGCGCCCCTGGCGCATTTGTAGCAACCTGTTAGAATTGCATCCGCGATTGTGCAGACTGTGCTATCCACCACCACATTTGTTCGTACATTTTCTTGGATGGTTACGATGATCTCCGCTGTCGTTAGGCTCTGTACCTCAGCTTTTACTTGTCCTTCGTCGTTTTGCTTGAATGAAACCGCTGGAAATATAGCTGGCAGACGATTTCTGACGTCCCCAAACATCTCAGAGATGCTTACGTCTCGGCATTTGCAGTTAGCTTGGACTTCCGCTGGTGCACATTGGCAGTTGTCTATAACCGTGCAGTCCAGTTGTTCTGCTGCAGTTTTGTTGGTGCACCAAAGAGGCGGTTTCATCACGGAATTCCAGAGTGCCGTGTTGTTTCCATCGGTGATGAAAGCTGTGTTTAGCAGCGGGATTGGTGGGATGGTTACCGAGGTTAACGTGAGTGTGAACGCATTCCAGATGATGGGTACATTGGGAACCATGATTGCAGTAAATATGCGTGTCACTCCTTGTATTGCATCAAAGTTTGTAAACTTGACTTTGGCTGCCAGCGTCCAGCGGTTGCAGTGGAGAATTTCGAACACTTGTGGGGAAACTGGGGTGAGGTAGATGCGATAGAAAAGGCAGCCTGAGCTCCAATAGAAACAATCGCACCCTGGTCCTCCACAGGATTCGACGCAGGCCGTGATTCCTGGATAGTGATTCCCTTTCTCTAGCTCCGGTAAGAGGCTTGTGGCGTTTATAGACGCGCATTTGTTTCCTACGCAGGAACCTACATGCGGGCATCTTTTGCTGTCCACCACATTGTAGATCGTGTCCCGAGTGTACATTTCGTGCTCTTGTTCGCAGGTAAGACTGAGCAGTTTCCATGATGCCCTCACTTCATGAATAGTCGAGTTGTTCCTTGTTAGTCTGAAACATGCCTCTCTTTTGAAAGGGTTGATTTTGAGGACTTCTAACACGTGAATCTTGCAGGTCTCGGTTCCATTTGCCTTTGTGCACACAGTAGATTTGTGCGAGAACAGATTCACTTGTTGACATCCTTCTGCTGTATTGACTGTTGTGCTTATCACTGCGACAATAGCTAGAAGTTCTATAAGTTCCGCTGCTCGGATTTGCTGTCGTCTTCGTGCTCGTTGTAAAGGTCGGCAACCTCTGCGAATAACGCTCTTGATGCCGTTCCACAAAAGGCGTAATGCGATCCGACATGGCTTCCCGAGCGTGAGCGGCACATAGCAGAATACGTAGCATCCAGTTATGAAGAAGTAGATGGCTATTGTAGTCGCTACGATCGCTCCAACAGGCCAGCATTCAGGATTGAAAATGACCGCTGAACAGAGTATGCAATCGATCTGGTCGCAGAACGGAGTTGGCGGGCAGGTAGTTTCTATTATCCTGATCGTTTCATTGTACAGAAGTTTCCAGTGGACAAACTGTTCATAGAGCGTTACTTGTGGCGGAAAATGGATAGTTTCATTTGTCTTTGGCGCTGAGATTGATTTGCAATAGTCTTCCGCACAGACCTCATATGGGACAGTTTCCTTGGAAAGCAACTCAACTCCTCCTGGAATGCATTTGATTGAATGTGTTTTCTTCGCTAGTACCTTCGCCAATGCATTCGCATTTCCGCAAAATGCACTCAGAAGACAGATCAGTAGGAGCGCGTTCGTCTGGAAGTGTTTGACTTGTATTGGCATCGCGTTCATTCCTTTGTAATCCATCCTCCGGTGAGGTCGCAGATCATATCGCGAGGGGTGTGCTTCCTCTTGTTCATTGTTACTGTCGGTGCTCGCGGTAGCGGGTTCTTGCGCTTGTTGTTCCCCCTCTTCTAATTCTAGTGGTACAAGAAGGTTGAGAGGCCGGCGGATCTTTCTTTGAGATGGGAGTTTCACCAGAGCTTCCCTTATAACTCCTTCGGTGTTTTTGACAAGTTCTTCTATTCGTCCGACTTTCCAGGAATGTCTTGGCTGGACTGGATCACACAGCAAGACAACTTCGCCTACCTTCGGAGTATAGTTCGAACTTCTTTGACTTCCTACTTGGCGTTGATGTTTCTCTCGGAGAGCCGTCAAGTATTGATTTCGCCACAGCTGCCAAAATTTCTCTGTCAGTTTGCAGGAAGATTGCAAAGCTTGAACTGCTTGAGCCTTTGTACGAAGCAAGGCTTTTTCTGCTGGTGGCAAGTAAGATGGATCCTCTCCTTTATCATTTACCGCATCCAGTGGATAGGATATCCTCATCTCATTTTGTAAGAAGTCAATTGGCCTCAATATCCTTTCATTTGCGAAATCCGATTCCACGTATAACAGGGGTCTTGTGTTCAGGATCGCTTCGATTTCGATGGTAACCGTGGTTAGCTCTTCAAAGCTTAGCACGCCTTTGCCCAGAGTTTTGTAGAGCGTTTGCTTTACGGACTTTATCAGACGTTCGTAGAAGCCTCCTTGCCAGGGTGCGTATGGAGTGTTGTAATGCCACTCAATTTCTCTGTCGAGTATTTCACGCTCAACAGCGGGATCGCTTTCAGCTGCTTGAATCGCTTCTCTGAGTATAGTTTCTCCTAGCATGAACGTGGGAGCGTTATCACTTGTGATTGATCGTGGAATTCCCCTTCTTGCAAAGAAGCGCCGCAACATCCAGAGGAAGGCTGTTGTTGACATATCGGAGACTATGTCCAAGTGGATTAATCTTGTTGTCATACATGTGATTATGCGTCCGTAGCATTTACCCTCTGTTCCATCAGGTAGTGCAATTGGCAAGGGTCCGTAGTAGTCCAATCCGACATGCTCAAATGGTCTAGATTTCTGCACTCGTCTTGCAGGAAGATCCGTTTGCTCTGGATACTTGTAAGGCAGATTGTTGAACTTTTGGCAGGGTATACATCGCCTCACAAACCGCGTGACCTGTGCTCGCAGTTTTGGTATCCAATACTGTCGACGTATGTTCGCCATAGTATGGCTTACGGATAGATGCCCTCTGCCGTGGCAGTCGTCGATGATTCTTTCCGCCAACATCGAGTTTTGTAGGATGATCAACGGAATTTTGGCTTCATCATCTAGGTCGCTGTTTCCCAGTCGTCCATAACATCGAAGGAGGCCTTCGGCATCTTTTTTGATGTTCAGTTGCTGCATGGAGTTAATGACTTTTGAGGTTATTTGCTGTTGATGAAGTCTGATGAGCAGCTTTCCTGCGATAAGTATCTCCTTTCCGTTTAGCCTTGTTCCCACAGCGTTATTCGGTGCGGAAAGTAGCATAGATAGTGATATGGGTGACTGGTTGTTGGCACTTGCCTGGCCTGCGACATTCCTGACGAAACGGAGGATCCAGGCTACAATGCGCCTTGTTTGCTGCCATGTGCGTCGCTCCAATAAGGATAGCACAGCCGAGTCTTCTTTGCTTTGGCAATATTCGACCGTCCTGGAGGCAAGAACTTGTTTTTCCTTCACTAGAATTTCCTCTCCTTCGTTAACGGTGCTTTTCAT